TGTATGTCAGCCCCTTATGGGGTTCATCCCCCAAGGGATGAAGAGTAGGAAGATCCTTGTCTAGCCCTACTGTTATACCAATAGAATAAAAACCAGCAGGATCTTATTAAGAGGGATAAGGCAAAGATGCCACATTTATTGTAAATATACTGATAAAGCAAAAGATAAAAGTAAACAACGTTGTTTGACTACTTATTTCTTATACATACACACACATATATATATATAGAGAGAGAGAGATTCATTCACACAATCATTCATTCAAGTTCTGTATAGGTGTTATAGTTACCAGCCTAGAAGTTGCTCATGCCAAGTTACTGGCCAGGTATCTTGGTCATGGGGGGAAGGGCAGGAGCCATCTGTGTGCAGGGAAGATGGGAATGATAGGGTGACCAGATGAGAGGAAGAAAATATTGGGACACATGGGGGTGGGGGGGGGGGGGAGCAAAGAAAAAAAAAAGCAAAGTGTCGCAAAATATCGGGACAAATTGCATCCCAACCAAGCATGGGTCGGGACGCAGGGCAAACGCCCAAATGAGGAGCTTGGCACTGAGGGCTAGCACCAGCTATGTGCATGTGGGAGGGGGCAGGAGCCAACAGCGTGCAGGGGAGGTGAGTGGGAGAGAGGTGCTGTGGATGCTGACCAGTGAGCCTGGAGCCCAGCTGCCAAATGTCCTACCCACCCAGGGGGAGCTCCACAGCAGGTCTGCCCAGCCCAGGCCTGTGTGAGGAGGGGAGAAGTGGTCTATACATTTCATATAGCAGCCAGCTGGGGAGGAGTCAGATGTCTCCAGTGGATATAAACCTTGGCAGAAATTGCAGGGGAGGGACATGACCCACCCCACAAGTCACTTCTGCCTTTTAGGTTCCAAGACTAGCTGCTGCAAGAAGCAGTCATTAATGGTGTTTAGAAATTTAATCTCTGCATCCTGTCCTGAGGTCACATGTTCCCAGACAATGTGGAGATAGTTGAAATGCACCATTGTTATTGGGTTTTCTGTTTTTCTTGCCTCTCTAATCTCTCTGAGCATTTTACAGCAGGATGACCCTTGCAGCTCCTTCTGACCTTATGGTTCTATGATTCTATGTGCCAAAGGATGGTCTCAAGGAATGCACATAGATGGGTGCATCAGTCTAAACAGTCTGCAAGCATTTTACTGAGTGACAATATTGTCCAACTTTAGGGATGCTGCAAAGATCACTGATTGGGAGGTGTCAGATCCTGCACTGATGAGCATGATAGAGGAAGGGATCCAGGGAATATAGCTGGCATCTCCATTACTAATTTGTTGCATTTATCTGGCCTATGACTGATGTGGGGGGCTGTGATCATTCACAAAAATTACAAAAAGTATGAGGCAGATTGATAATGTCTCATTGAAACACCCAGGAAAATCCTTCATCCCAGAAGGGGCAGACTTTAAAGACTCTCTTTAAATAAAGCCCAAAGCAAAGAGCCTTGGCACCTGTAAATGCTGGTGGAAGTACCAATAAGACTTTCTTGAGTATTGAAAGGACCCGCCCACGTTACAATACCTGCTCCTTGCCTTTGTATTAGAAATCAGTAGGACGCTCAAAAGCATTTTCAGGTTGACGAGCCCAGCCGCGCTTCTTCCCGGAGACCGCCTTTCAGCTTGTGTTTGGCGCCTGCCCAGGGGTGCCTGGTGATTGGCCGCTTTGAATATCTCGGCGCGACGCTATTGGTGGAGCGGGGGCGGCTTGGCGCGGTTAGTTCGAATCGACCCCGCACAGGCGCTTGCAGCGTCCTCTTTCCGAGCCTCGCTGTGTGGGGTTGTTCCTGCAGCAAGGGAGGGAGGTGAGTGACCGAGCGAGCGGCTGCTCGAGCCGGGGCCCGCTGCGTGAGGTGAGGTGCAGGGTCGGGTGGAGGTGCGGGGCCGGGGGCCGGGCCGGTTGTACCGGGGGGTGTTCGGGAGGCGGGCGCCTCTCCGCCTGCTGAGCCCTCTGGGCAGAGGGGGCTTGCAGGAGAGAGGGGGTTTCTAGCCGGGAAACGGGCAGGAATCGGGGGATCGGTCCCCCCTCTCCCCCCGTCCTGAGCGGGGGATGGGCAGTGGGTGAGGAAAGGGCCCCGGCCCCACCGGCAGGATGGCGGGCTGGAGAGCGGGTGGCTGGCGCTGGGCCGCGCAAGGGCGAAGGGAATCGCCTCCCTTTATTTCCGTGCAAGCAGCGAAAGAGCCGGTGGCGGCTGCAAGGGCGATGGGCACTGGCAGCTGTCTGGCAAGGGCAGCCTCTGTGTCCTCCCGTTTCACCTCATGCCTCTGGTAGCTCTGCAGCGCAGCGCTGCAGCGTCCGGCCTGCCCGGGGTAATGGCAGAGGGAAATGTTAGTAAGATTAGGAGTAAATTGCACCTCCGTTTCATAGGTTAAATGCACCCATATTAACGAAATGTAGCAGTAGGGATGTGTTTAAAATTTTAAAGTCCACTCTTTCTTTTGAAAGACGCTAAATCCCTGGCCTTACTTGTAACCACATCCGGCCAACGAGGCACGGAAATTTCGAACAAAAAAATTAAGCTCTCTAGCTCATACCATGCGAAGGTAAACAAACACCACAATCGCTGACAAATACACTAGACACTAAGTGGAGCACCCTAAAACTAACACACTTCTGTCTGAACTCACTGCTAGTAGATAAAAAGTAATGACCAAATACTGTTAATTGACAGAGATTAGAAAGGGGAAATACTTTAGTTTGTCGTCTTTGAGCATTTGTTTATAGTCAGCTTCACTCTTTCCCTGCTCCTAGAAAGCTTCCTGTGTGTGGTGTTTTTCTAATACAACAGCACAGAAGAGCAAGAGTTAAATTAGGAAAATGTAAATAAAACCGTAAACTGGCATTAGGATTCCTGGGCAGAAATAGCATCGGAATGACTGCTTTAAACTGTCAGATTGATAGTGCATCTTCAAACACTTTCAGTTTTCATAATCTAACTAGTAACATTATTTAAAAACACTATATGAATGTTAATGTGGTAACTTTGTATAAAAACACTGTAGGAATTCATGGTATATAGACACAGGATGGAAAGGCCTCTGCCCCAAAGAGTTTTTCTTTTACTGTGTTCTCATGTGTTTGTAGTGAAATTGTCTTTGGGCAGTATTACTTACTTTTTAAACCCACCACCACCACCTGAATTAAAGAGTTGGGTGATCAGGTTACCAACCTCATAGCCACCCCAAGACATTCTAATAAAAAAAAAGTCTTCCTCTAGAAGACTTCAGAGAATGAGGCTGTCAAACTATGTAGAAATTTATTTGTGAGCTCTTGAAATAACTTGTGTTAAGGATGTACTATTACCACATCCGTGTGAAAACAATCTTCATTTCATTGTTGTAGTAAAGTTGTTTGAACAGTACTCACTCATGAGCCTGATTCTCCTTCCCCATCTACAGATTTAACTGTTTACTTCATTATAAAATTGTATCAGAGTAAATCAAGTACAGTAACTCCTTGCTTAACGTTGTAGTTATGTTCCTGAAAAATGCGACTTTAAGCGAAACGATGTTAAGCAAATCCAATTTCCCCATAAGAATTAATGTAAATAGGTGGGGTTAGGTTCCAGGGAAATTTTTTTCACCAGACAAAAAGCTATATATTCTATAGATATACACACAGTATAAGTTTTAACAATTTAATACTGTTTAGAGTTATGATGATTGTGAAGCTTGATTGAGGTGGTGAAGTTAGAGGGTGGAAGAGGGAGGGATAGTTCTAGGGAATGCCCTAAATGTTGGACTAGCACTCCGCTGAGCCCTCAAGGGTTAACACATTGTTGTTAATGTAGCCTCTCATCAAGGCAGCAGGATCAGGAGGGAGGGGAGACAGCATAGCAGACAGAGAGACACACACCTTGTGTGTGGGGGAGAGAGAGATGCACACTGCCCCTTTAAGTAAGCTGACCCACTCTTAAGTGCATTGTCTTTTTAAGTGGATCAGGAAGTTGAGACAGCAGCTGCTGCCCCAAACTCTCTCTGTCCATGTCCCCTCCTTGCTCTATATGGAGAAGGGGTAAGCAGGGTGCAGGAGCAGGGGGGAGGGGACACCCTGACATTAGCCCCCCTGCTTTGCCCCCTGCACAGCAAGCAGGAGTCTCTGGGAGCAGCTCCAAGGCAGGGGGCAGGAGCAGCACATGGCAGTCGGGGGAGGGACAGCTGAACTGCTGACTGAGAGCTTGCTGGGCGGCACTAGGCAACTTAGGGGAGCAGGGAGCTGCAATGGGCTGCCCTTCCTACAAGCAGTGGACAAAGCAGGTGGCTTCCAAACAATGTTAGAAGGGAGTATTGCGCAATTTTAAATGAGCATGTTCCCTAATTGATCAGCAACAAAACAACGTTAACCAGGATGACTTTAAGTGAGGAGTTACTGTAAATGCCAATAATGATACATTAAATCCTTTCCAAACTTAATGTCTCTGCTTAGCAGTGTCAAATGAAATGGTTTGAGAAGTTGTACAGAAAATTACACGTGACATCCCCATCATGTGTTTAAACGCATCCCAGTATCCTTCCCCCTCTACCTTCACCTTAGTCTAGGACAGTAGTGGTGCTTGAGGTTTTTACTGTTGTGACACGTTCTTTTCAAAGCAAATATGTTCAGGGCCTTACTTTACTGTGTATTAGAGAAAATATTCATATATCTCTATTGAGTAAATGTCAGATTATTAAAGTATAGAAGTACAAGTTCTTTACTGTGAGTGAATTGGATGAGTTTGAGAAAGAAGGAGACAGGACCTTGGGTGAGTGCGTTGTGGGGAGCAGTCTTGGGGCAGCCTCTCCTATGCTTCCCATTATTCCCTCTTCACTCCCAAATCTGTTTCACTCTCCTCCCTACTGTTGAGGTTCCTGCCTCCTTCCTGTTCATTGTTTGTTCCTCCTGCTGGTGTCCAACCATTTCACTGCCCTTGCTGGTAGCACTGTAAAGCGCTGTCAAATGCGAAGCAAAAAAAAGAGAGAAAAAAATTGACCTCCCCCCCCCCCCCAACCTATTTACATACAAAAACTGCAATTTTTCTTTTTTGAGGGCGTCTCTGACTATTTCCATTTGTGGTGTAAGCCTGCCCTCATATCAGCAATCAAAAGAAACTAAGGGTACGTCCAGACTACCCGCCGATTCGGCGGGTAGTAATTAATCTATCAGGGATCGATATATTGCGTCTAGACGAGACGCGATATATCGATCCCCGAACGCACTCCCGTTGACTCCGGAACTCCACCAGGGGGAGCGGCAGTAGCGGAGTCTATGGGGGAGCCGCAGCTGTCGATCCCGCGCTGTGAGGACCTGAGGTAAGTCGAAATAAGATAACATCAACTTCAGCTACACTATTCCCGTAGCTGAAGTTGCGTATCTTACATCGACCCCTCCCTTCTGCCCCCAGTGTAGACCATCCCTATGGGGTGGTTGGGGAGCCACTCTCCCATTTATATCTTCTGACCATGTTATGAGAGCAAGGGTGACTGACCCCTGTGGACACAACTAGAAAATTCCCAACTCTTAGCTCTCAAGTGTGAATGTGCAGAGGCAACACTCAAAGAACTATAGTTGTTTAACAGTAACTTCTTGTCTCGAGATCACTGCATCCCTGTTATGCACCTCCACCACCTATCCTAAAGCCTTACGCTGTTGTGAGTGGTTGGAACCCTGAATAAACACTGGTTGGGGGTTTTTTGCTTTGTTGTGGAGGTGTGAATAGTAAGGGAAATGTCTTCCCTGCTACTTTGTCATAACTGAGTTGAATGAATCCAAGTTTAAGCAGGATACAAAGCTCATGTGCACATTCAGAACCTTCCCAAACTAATCTAATGTCTCACTATATAATGTATATTGGTGTCCTGGGACAAGCCATATATTCAATGGTCCCTTTGTATTCTGCTTTAGGATAGCAGCTACTTACCTCTGGTTTTGTTGTCTCTTCCCCCTTCTGCCCCCCACCCCCCCATTTCAAGGCTAGTCCTAACAAATAGCAATGGATGACTACACAAAGATAGAGAAGATTGGTGAAGGTGAGTAGCACTTTTTTGATGATCCTTTGCACTATGTAATTTGACTTATCAATTTGTTAGACACTGAAGGAAGCTTATTCTGCTGCTATGTAAAGTCTTAGTACACTTAAGCTCCTGGATGAGTCTGTATAGATCTACAAAGTGAGATCTGACAAGATGACTCTGTGGCTCATCAAAATAAGTGCACAGGTGCATTCAAGCATCTTGGTATGGTGCCAATGGAGTAAGTGCAACCTCCTACCTGTGGTGTCAGTTGCCTGCATTCATGTTGAGGATTATCTCTGTGCATCTCCGATTGTATTCCACTCCTAACCCTTAGAGTGGGAGAATAGACTGTAGGCTTTGATGTCTGCCTCTACAGTTCAAGACCTTTTGGCTCCCTTAAAATTTGATGCACTGGTTGTCCCACAGATTGTGCTGTGGCATAAAAGCAGTTGTGTCCTGTTTACATTCTCTTCTGGGGGCACATGTAGAAGAAAAGTAGTATCAGTTTCTGTGATATCCTGGCTCTGGACTACATCCTGCCCATGGAAGTGGTATGATCTGATATCTTTCATTTAACTATGAAGACGCTAAGTCAATGGCACTGCTGTGCAGAAGTAACGTTAGTCTGTTGTAATGCACGCACAAAGCATGTTACTGTGGAAGAAGATCACTTTTGTGCGACGTATTGAATTCCTCTGTGCAGGTATTATCCACATTCTTTGTGCTTTAATTAAAGTTAGTTTACGCAGTTAGGGATCACTTTATAAAGTAGAAGATTATGTACAGTCTTTCCATAAACTCCAGATTTTATGTAGACTTGAGATTTTGCACCAAGTTCTTTGGCCTAATAAGACTTTGCAACAAATTGTCTCGGGCCTTATGAGAGAGAATGGCTAAACCTAGAGTCTATTCACTTTTATAAATCTGCTTGTTATGGGAAATCACTGTTGTAAAACACTTACATACTGTACTGTATGAAGTTATGTGCCTTCTGAAGTATTACATAAACATGTATGCAAAGATCTTTAAAAAAATATGGGTTTGTTTTCCTGTTAAAGATCTTTAATCTTTCGTGTGTATCAGCTCAATTTAAAAAGCAAAGAACTAAAAATGCTTCAAGAAAAATATGAAAACAGGCCACCTTTTAACAATATCCCTTTGTACAACTTTCATTTTAGTGTAACAAAGCTAACTTTATTATGAACTAAAGTACAAAAATCCCAGTTTAAACAAACTAGCTTCCTCAAAATTTAAATACTCTCTATATGGCTCAGAATTCGACTTGTGGAAGTAATCCCAAAGTTTTAATCTGGCTTTCCCAGCTGCCCAAACATTAATGGCACTAGCCATTTCTGGCATGCAGCACATAAAACATTACTGATAGCGTAGATACAGAAAATGAATAAAATGAAATACTAACCTTATCCAGATTGAAGTGTCTGGTTTCACTGCAGTGATTCTTTATATAGAACAAAGCCTTGTTTCATCTGAAATGACTAAACATGACTTGATCTGTTCTTAAAAGTTCACAGTGTGGTTTAGTGTATGCCTAACTTTTTTTTTTGGTCAGGTACCTATGGTGTTGTATATAAGGGTCGACACAAATCCACAGGCCAGGTGGTTGCCATGAAGAAAATTCGACTAGAAAGTGAGGAAGAAGGTGTTCCCAGTACAGCAATCAGGGAAATTTCTTTACTAAAAGAGCTACACCATCCCAATATAGTCTGGTATGCATGCAATATTCTCAGATTTAAGCCAATTTCTCTGTTGGGAAGGACTCCCTCTCTCTTCCCATGTCAAATATGATTACTAAACACTCTAGTGAAAGAGGAGGGTCTTGCTTTTGCTTCAGACTGAATTTCTCATAGCTACAAATCTTCCATACAGCCCCCGATAATGATTTTTTTTTCCTCTGCACGTCCTTATTACTTAGTGTCTTTCTGCTCTTCTTCCCTCTCCCTCCTCCACCCACCACTTTGGGAATCTTCCAAGATTCTCATTTGTCACTTTGGAATCTGTACAGCATAGCTATCCTTTTTCCAGCTGAAGAGAAATGGAAATCAACTAGATGAAATTCAATATGGACAAGTGTAAAGTATTTCACATAAGAAGGAAAACTCAAATGCACAACTACAAAACAGGGAATAACTGGCTAAATGGTAGTACTGCTGCCAAGGATCTAGGGGTTATAGTGGATCACAGATTGAACAAGTCAACTATATGATGCAGTTGTAAAAAAGGCTAATATTCTGGGGTGTATTAACAGGAGTGTCATATGTAAGACACAGGACGTAATTGTCCTGCTTTACTTGGCACTGGGGAAGCCTCAGCTGGAATATTAGGCCCAGTTCTTGGTGCCACATTTTAGGAAAGATGTGGACAAATTGGAAAGAGTCTAGAGAAGAGCAACAAAAAATTATAAAAGGTTTAGAAAATCGGACCTATAAGGAAAAGTTAATTAGGCATTTTTTTTCCCTTGGGGGGGGGGAAACTGAATGGGAACCTGATAAATCTTCAAATATGGTAAAGGTTGTTACAAACATGATAGTGATCAATTGTTCTCCATGCCTACTGAAAGTAGGACAAGAAGTAATTGGCTTAATCTTCATCAAGGGAGACTTTTAGGTTTGGTATTAGGAAAAACTTTTATAACTATTAGTATAGTTAAGCACTGGAATAGGCTTCCAAGGGAGACCCGTGGAATCCCCATCATTGGATGTTTCTAAGAATAGGTTAGACAAACACCTGTCAGGGTGTTTGGTCCTGCTTCAGTGCAAAGTGCTGAACTAGATGAACTTTTGAGGTCCCAACCCTACATTTCTATGATTTTATGGCTCCCTTCTGGAATCCGTTTATGCTGCCTTTCTTCAGTGAGCCATGAGGATCACCTGCTACTTCAAAACTGCAAGTAACTTACCTAACCCTAGTGACTGACCACTAACGTGGTTTTGCTTGAGTCCTGGCTGTCTGAAGGGTTTGCTTTGTTTTTGCAGCAGATATTCTAGCATATATAGCTGTTTGATGGAGCACTTTCATAATTAGTACAAATCTGAGAGTTGTAATTAAAATATTGGGTATTGGAAATCTTTGAATTTATAGTAGAATTGCTTGACCTTAGTAAACCATTTAATATATTTTGCCTCTAAAATATTCACTTATTCCTCATAGGGTATACAGATCCTATTTGGCTTAACTGGGGCTTTAGTTGATAGATATGCTCACCAGTTAAGATTAAAGATGTCTTTTTGTCTTGTGTGTGGGTTCAAATCACAATCCACATTGTGTGTTCTTATTTTTGAAGAGGAGCATAAAAAACGCTAAATTACAAGTTCTATTTTAGGTTCTAATCTTTCATTGAGCTGTCTACATGGAGCCCCACTGAAATAGGAGTCTGTTTCTGTAGAGCTCAGTGAGATTGGGCCCATAATATAGTAATTTAGGCATTGATCAAACTCCTACAGAAGTAATTGTCTTCAGTGGAAGTTGGATAGGGCCTTTACTTATTTTCAAAAGTTGCACTATCTACTACCTTGTTTCTCATTTTTAAAAAGAGAGACACTCAAAGGACAGGGATCTGCTTCTCTCTGCTTCCCAGAATCTTTTTCTGGATGACGTTAGAGCACTATTTCCTCCTGCCTAGAAGATTGAATTCTTAATTTCATGTTGGCCTGGCACTACCAATTTCATTAATAATTTCACATGTGCCTAATCTCCCAAACTGCACTGAATCTCATTGCTTGAGACTGCAGAGAGGCTAAATAACCCTGATTTGTGCCAGCTCAGATGAAAGCCAAGTGACTTTGTGACAATGTGGAGGAAAAGCCTCAGAGCTTGGAATTGCTTAGCATTTCCCCAGCTGAGATTCTTGGAAAAGTGCTTGAGAAGTAATGTCAGCTTGCATCTGTGTAAGGCGTTCAGGGGAAGTATAGTAGTGAGTTAATGTATCATAGATATATTTTTCATTAGTCTTCAGGATGTGCTTATGCAAGATTCAAGACTGTACCTCATCTTTGAATTCCTTTCTATGGATCTCAAAAAATATTTGGACTCTATTCCATCTGGCCAGTATGTAGATTCCATGCTTGTTAAGGTAAGGAGTCAATATAGTAACTGTCACTATAAACTTCCTCTTGTATTTTAAAGATATATATGGAAAGAGCACGTTATCTGTCGTTTGTTTTTGTTTTTTGTTTAAATAATACTTCAAACTACATGACTGCTTTTGATGTTTCTTTCCTTTCACTCCTGAGGAGGGGAGACTCGAGAACAATTTGCTGGTATCGTTAAGGAGTGGACCTTCTGAATCTTAAATCTGACACTCTTTGTCTAGTGTACTGTCAAATTTATATAGATGTATTTCAAAGCATAAAAATGACTTAGTTCTAATACAAGCATTTTAATAATAAACATCTCTTACACATCTCTTTTGCATTGATCATAACAATGTTGCCTTCATGAAGAGAATTTTGTAAAGTTTACTTACTGTTTTCAACGTTATGGCTCTTAACTGACCATTTCTATAGTATGTCAACTCTAGTGGCAGATCTGACATTAGCAAATAGTGCCACATGATGCAGAACAGTAGTTTGCAGTAAAGGTAATTTAAAAATTTTCCCTTCTCTTATTTCACTCCTACAGAGTTACCTGTATCAAATCTTGCAAGGTATTGTATTCTGTCATTCAAGAAGGGTTCTGCACAGAGATTTAAAGCCTCAAAACTTGTTAATAGATGATAAAGGAGTAATTAAATTAGCAGATTTTGGACTGGCCCGAGCCTTTGGGATCCCTGTCCGGGTATATACACATGAGGTAAGTGAATTGTAGTGGCTTTTTTTCCATAACTGACACAACTAAGGCTTGTAGGCACTGTGATAATAAATAACTCACATTCCAGTTCATGAATAGTTTCTTTGAGGAAATGCTAACTACTAATATGAAGTAGCTAAAAGGATACTGTCAACTAAGAAAATCATTATTCTGAAAACTTTATCTTAAAATTACATTTCAAAAAGATTACTATAACAGTGAGACTACTTTTTCAATTTCAATTTGTGCATTTGACAGTGGTAGCTTCACTATAGTCGTGTCTCTTTTTTTACTCTGATAGACACGTTTTGGTAAGTGTGACAACAGTGTGGTTGTAATACCACAAATGGTGGGGGTGAGGGATGAATCTTGAGAGTAGGTGGTACTATAACTTTTAAACTGACTTTTTCAAGTTTATTATGTCCACTTACCCTGAGGTGCTCTGAACTACAACACCTAAAAAAATCAATGGAATCAATGGGAGTTCTGCCACAGATCACAACGAACATACAGAGTTTGACTGTTTCTGTCAAAATGCTAACAAAAATACATAAATCAGTTTGTTCCTTGCTGATAAACATGCAAATATATCCACTCCTCAAAGAGAGCAGGATGTAATTATTGCAGATAGTGCTATTCCAAATAAATCAATAAGTTCCACTTGTTGTAGTTTAGTTGGCAACAGTTCTGGTTATATTTTATTAAAAATTAATATATTCGGAACAATTTTCCCTCTGGAAGATGAGGAGCCATACTTTTGTACAACAAGCTGTAAGATTTAATGCAACTATAAATTACAAATAAGAATTTCCTTGTGCAATAGGTAGTGACACTGTGGTATAGATCTCCAGAGGTGTTGCTAGGATCTGCTCGTTACTCAACTCCTGTAGATATCTGGAGCATTGGTACCATATTTGCTGAAATTGCAACTAAGAAACCACTCTTTCATGGAGACTCTGAAATTGATCAACTCTTCAGAATCTTCAGGTATTTAACACTAAATCTTTAAAATCTTTGCTAAATACATAGCGCAAAGAATGCTTTATGAAGCTATACTCTGCACTAACATTCTAATAATGCATTACAATTGCTCGAATACAAATTATCAGCTCATTGCTTATTCTTGTGTAGAGCTTTAGGGACACCCAACAATGAGGTGTGGCCCGAAGTGGAATCCTTGCAAGACTATAAGAACACATTCCCCAAGTGGAAACCTGGCAGTCTGGCGTCTCATGTCAAAAACTTAGATGAAGATGGACTAGATTTACTCTCTGTAAGTGGCTTTTTCTTCAAAGTTTTTTTCTTAAGGAGGCTATTGGGGGTTAAAAGTACCTGGTGTCTTCTAAGGTATCTAAAACCAACTTAATCCAGCTTGGTACAACTATAATGCAAAGGTGCTCAAACTCTGCAATAATAAGGGACATGCAGGCAGCTTGCTAGGAGTTTAGTGACTGTGCCTAATTAGCACACTTTGCTATCCATCAAGGAAGCAGAATGGATAGCAAACTTTGGTCTCTGGACTATTAAAATAATCTCTTGATCTCACCTTCATAGCTATCGGTAAGCAGGAGGGCAGCCAGAGCTTGTTTTATATTAGTGACTCAGAGACAACTTAAACCTGAAGTTTTAAATACTTCCGGGTTGTACATTGAATTCCTAGTTTCTTGGCCAAATTACAGTTTGTTATAGCATTCTATTTATCTTGAGTCATCCTTTAGCTTGGACTTTTCTGAATAAGATCTATTGAGTGTTTTGTTTGCACCCTTACCTCTGGGCCAAAAGATTCAGCTTCTCTGCCATGTTTGGACTTGTTCAGTTCTTTACACAACAAGAGGAATTCATAGCCACCTTGTGTTCTGATCTTGCAAATTATGCTGGGGCCACCCTGCTCATTTCTTGGATGGTAATCAGGTGTGTTTAGCGAGCGATGTACCTGCTGATGGAACTTTTAAAGTTATATTGAACCAATATTTGGTTAGTGGAATTGTACTGCTGGAATTACGGCTTTTTTTCTTTTTTCCTTAAGGAAACTTCAAAACCATTTGTACATTTCGAAACCAATTCCTCAGTCTGTCATACTTAAAACTGCAAGCCCAACCCTTCCCCTATCCTTTACAATCTGTAAAAGACTGGCTTAAACTCTTGGGGAGAATGGGGGGAAGACTCCTGCCTTTTTCTACTTTTTCATATGGAAAATATCAGGTTCTCATTTGCCTCTTTGGAGGGCCTTAGCAAAATCTTTAGAAATCAATAATGATGTAACCTAGCATTCTTGGACAACTTTAGTAAACTTGGCATCCTTTATTCTCTTAGTGGGGATGAAAGGCTGCAGCTCAGGTTGCAGCCCTGTGTGATGTAACTATTCATAGCCTCCTGGGATTTTTCTCCCTCTAACAAAGAAGGGAGGGAAGACCTGCATTTCAAATGGCGGGGGAGGGAACCAAGTGCCAACTTTTTCCTGAAGCTTGAGACATTGATCTTAATACCTCTGTGGAACAGTAAAGGTGAAACAAACTTTGTTTCACAGGACTTGGCAGTGGTAGTGTGTAGTTCTCCTACAAATCCCTACTATAGATTCGCTGCATCAGTATAGCTTAAATTGATATGACGTCCTTGGTCTTCCCTCCTTAGGATGACCTGTGAGCACAAAAACATTAAATGAAAGAGCAAGGGTGATGAATCTTTAACAAGGGCTTCCTTTCTCTGTAATATCACTAGTAATAGAGATTTTTAAAATCTCTCTTGTGTGATCGGTATTTAACTAATTCTGCAGTCATCAGTCTTCCAGCTTAGAGTACTCAGACTTCTAATGTAAAACAAGCAGAACATAATAATGGAGGGGCAGCCAGTCCAAATTTGAGCGAGTGGCGTTGTGACTTGGCGCATGGGGTCGCAGCACTCTTTGATGCCAGGATTGAAAAATACTGCCCTGAAAACTTAGTGGATATTAATGTATGTGTTAAAAGGTTTCCTAGCCTATACACCAGGGGTAGGCAATCTATGGCACATGTGCCGAAGGCAGCACGCAAGCTGATTTTCAGTGCACTCACACTGCCTGGGTCCTGGCCACTGGTCTGGGGGGCTCTGCATTTTAATGTAATTTTAAATGCAGCTTCTTAAACATTTTGAAACCTTATTTACTTTACACACAACAATAGTTTAGTTATATATTATAGACTTGTAGAAAGAGACCTTCTAAAAAGGTTAAAATATATTACTGGCACGAGAAATCTTAAATTAGAGTGAATAAATAAAGATTTGGCACACCACTTCTGAAAGGTTGCCAACCCCTGCTATACACAGTTAGACAGCAGGATCAAAGCACCCCTCCACCCCCCACAAAAAGGAAATACAGTACAGCACTGTATTAAATGTAAACTACTAAATAAAGACAAGATTAAAAAAAGATTTGACCAGGTAAGGAAACTATTTCTGTACTTGTTTCATTTAAATTAACCTGGATAAAAGCAGCATTTTTCTTCTGCATAGTAAAGTTTCAAAGAGGTATTAAGTCAATGTTCAGTTATAAACTTTTGAAAGAACAACCATAACGTTGTTCAGAGTTATGAACAACCTCCATTCCCAAGGTGTCTGTAACTCTGAGGTTACTCTGTAGATGGTTTTTTTCCCCATAAGTGCATCAACTCCCAAAATTAACTAATATAGGTTGTCAGTGTTCATTAGAAAACCCTATTTTCAGAGATGTAACTGAGCTGTAACATGTTGTTTAGGGCTAAAACATGATACACAAGTTCTAAAGCCAGAAGCAATATTTACATTTCTATTTTATAGAACTGTTTTTAGCCAAATGAAGTTCAGGGCTTGGAAATTCAAAGTGGGAGACCTCCCAATAGAGACAATGATTACATTTTTAAAATATTCAAGGACTTGCTGTCTTGAAGTGGGTACCTTGACCCTCCATTATCCGTCTGTCCGTCTTCCAGAATCTGAATTGACTCTTTTGAAGGCACTACTCCTTGTCTTCCTTGGTAACATGGAGAGAGAGAGAGAGAGAGAGAGAGAGAGAAGTTGGGAGGGAAGTGGTAGGTGGAGCTTTGGGATTTCCCTATCAAAAGCATACCTTTTAACTGAAAAGAGGATACAGCAAAGGAAAGACCCATGCCCTGCATAGGCTTGTCTTAGTTTTGGGACTGGCATACTACAAAGTAGTCCAGTTGAGTTTAAGTTTTTATCTAACTTGAATGGTTCCTTATGTGGCCTAGAAGGCCCTTGAATGCCATCGTAACTAAAATGCTTCCTTTTCTCATTAGTACTAAAACTGGGGTGGGGGGGGGAGACTAATACACTGTATGTAACGTCTGTGCTGAATCTTTAATCTTTGTTCTATTGGAGAAAAACCTTGCCATTTTCTCAGTCTTAAGCTGTTTACAAAAAATCCCTCGTTTGTCTTAACCCCATCTACACTGAACACACTTGCATACCTCTCAAACTGAGTTTCACATTGTATTTGTGCATATGAGTGAGCAGTTAAGAGTATTTTATATGTATTGGCTCAAACATTGACTGTCAACTTCACATCTGTTTAAGAATACTGAATTTAGGGAAACAAACTTGGACTATTCTGCCTATTAATGCACTTCTTAAAAAGCGTGGAATTCTTGATAACATCCTGCAGGGTGTTAATGCTGCATTATCAGGAAACTAAATCTAAGGCAAAGGCTGCCATGAGGTACCCAGAGTTACTTTTAAAACCATGCTTAATGCAAATAGGTGAACTACCAAACATAGTGGCTTGGTTACTAAACCAGAGGGCAAATGAATGCATTTGTCTCATATTTTGAAGTTCTAAGAAGTGCTGTATTTAAGATGTAGGTTGAAATACCTTTTAAACTGAAGCTTCCTAGTCAAAGTGAGCTTGGAAGTCCTTGCATATAGGAGAACTCCTTTTTCTATTTTATTAAAGTATTGGCAGATAAAGTTCAACCATGCTTTACAAATAACTAAGTTCATTTACATTTCATAACTAAACTATTTTTATCCCCAGAAAATGTTAATTTATGATCCTGCAAAAAGAATCTCTGGCAAAATGGCCTTGAACCATCCATACTTTGATGACTTGGACAAATCCAATCTTCCAGCCAATCAGATTAAGAAATTCTAATTCACCATTGGACTAAATCCACCTGAGTGGTCTGAACAAAATAATTAATCGTGACATTTTTTTACTATTGAGTCTGTCTAATTTTTTTGTTTTGTTTTTTGTATGTCTGTCCTTTCTGCTCTAAAACTGCAGCTGTATTTAGCGTGTCGTGGTTTAAATATTACTTAAATGTAAATAAATATTAACCTATTATTAGTGCTGAATTTAAATACAATGCAAATCTTGCTGCTATTAATGCAGTTCACTATTTCTATAAATAAAGCTTTAAATCCCCCACTCTTTTGCTGGATTCTTTCTGAACCACAGATGTGGGAGTACCCAATGTGAAATCTCAAGATATTACAATTCCGTTGCTTTGCTCCTCATTCGTTACTAATGAGGTAATACACCCCACGTAAGGAATTCAGAGGTAGGCCAGTGCTGTTGCTGGAGTCTCTAGGACCAAACTGCCCTTCAGCTAAGGCAACAAGATTTTCTGCCTCCAGTAGTTGAACAAATTGGCATGTAATTTCTTCTGACCATTTTGTTTTAAAACCTTCATTTTTATTTGGTTTTGGGCAGTTGTAACTTCTCCCCTTGCTTTGGGTAGATAACAATGTGGTGATTTCAACCATATGGATGTGGTGCTGCAGGACCTCTCTGTCAGACTCCTCTTTCCCCACTCTGGTAGTGCAAAGCTGTCCTACAAGCACCTGGCTTAAATCTCAGCCATATTCCCTATGTGTGGCAATATTTACAAGCTCTACAGAAAGAATTATGACTAGCATGTTCCCAGCCAACCCTCCCACTGCCAGGATACAGAGCTCAGTCAGACTAGCATGTCAGATCTCCACCCTAGCCTGAAGAGCCAAGACTCCAATACAAAAAAAGCCTGATCAGGAGCTTCTGAGGTTTCAGGGGGAAAGTCTCTGAAGATGAGAAATCTATCTATCCAATGAGGGGCTCCATTCCCTCCCTGGACTGGAGAGGGAAATCCCCTTAAACTAAAGAATCTGGGGACACACACACACACCCTGAAACTGAAGTGGGTCCCAAACCCCAGACTCTGGGCCCAAAAAGGCAAAAGGAATTAGTATTGTAAATGAACACATGGAGTGAAAAATAAGATATTGAACCCCTTCTCCTTTGCCTCTTCCCCCTGGGGAGTTCTGGACCTTTCCTCCTATACAGAGGTTCCCGCAGTGTTTGTATCCAAGGGCTTGTCTTCTCTACCGCATTACATTGGCACAGCTGTATCAATGCACTAAGAAGCGTTGTGCTGATGGGAGAGCATGCTCTAGTTGGCTTAATTACTCCACCTCAAGGAAAAGTGGAAGTTGTGTTGGCAGGAGAGCATCTCCTGCCGACATAACATGTAGACACCGCTTCAAGTCCATCTAACTTGCATCACTCAGGGGAGTGACTTTTTTTCATGCCCCTGAGCGATGTTAAAGTTAAATCGACTTAACTGGTAGTGTAGACAAGCCCAGAGTTACTGCCCTTCCATAAGCCTTCACTCCTGTGCAAGCCTGCCTCAGCTTGCAGGTGCAGTCTAATGGGGATTGTGCTTGTCTGGCTTTCAGCCCAAAGACCCTTACTCTGGCAGGGAAAGGGTCTCTGATTCTGAAAGATGAGGAGGGGTCTCGACTCTCCTGCTCCAAAGGCTGGCTCCGCATTAAAGCCTTAAGAGCACTTCAGGAAGACTGACCAGAACAGGTACATGAAGATTCCACTCATGAAGCTGCATCCTCAAGGGATTACAGCGAGGTACGTGAGAAATTCCTTCATATGTTCAAAATGATTCTAATCTACTGAGTAAAGCCCAAAGTGATATTAGGTTGCTCCTCTAGTACAGGGTTGGGCAAACTACGGCCCACGGGCTGGAAGCCACGGCATGGCCCCCCTCCGGCGCTCCAGCCCAGGAGCAAGGTCGGGGGCCACTCTACGCAGCATGGCCCCCCTCTGGCTCCTATGCACTCCAATGGGAACTGCAGGGGGGCTGCCTGCGGACAGGGCAGTGCACCGCAGAGCTACCTGGCCATGCCTCTGCGTAGCAACCAGAGAAGGGACGTGCTGCTGCTTTCGGGAGCCGCTTGAGGTAAGCCCCACTCAGAGCCTGCACCCCTGAGTCTCTCCCCAACCCCCTGCCTCAGCCCTGATTCCCCTCCTGCCCTCCAAACCTCTTGATTCCCAGCCCAGAGCACCCTCCTGCACCCCAAACCTCCAGCCCCACCACAGAGCCTGCACTCCAACCCCAATTTTGTGAGCATTCATGGCCCGCCATATAATTTCTATTCCTAGATGTGGTCCTTGGGCCAAAAAGTTTGCCCACTCCTGCTCTAGTACTTGCGTGCTAGCTGGCGGTGGGGTGGGGGTGGGGGAGGCAGGTAGCCTTTCATTCTCCTGGAGACCTCTAGCAAGCTACTGCCACAGTCAAGATGTGTACCAGTACCCCTTCTCTGTGTGGTCCCCAGGCCAGGCTGAATAGTGTATTAACTCCCTTCTGTAAACAGCCAGAGGAAGAAGTACTATGCACGCATCTCCAAGAATCCTACAGACTTTTCTAGGACAGAATGTTAGTCAGTGGCTTGCAAGGAAGTAATTATATGTTCCCTTTCAAGCATTATTGGATACATGTTTTCCCATCAGTGCCTCCTTTTGAGGGAGTCATAAGATCCAAATGAGGATATCTGATTAAACCAAATGTTAAACTAAAATGTTCATATAAAACCCAATTTAAACCTGGTGCAGCAGTAACTCTCAGTGAAAGATGGTCCCCTTCAGAAGGTGACTTCCTTCCAAAAGACCCAGTGATGACAGTACATGCCAATGTCAAAGCCTCCGCTATAGCCTTTCAGACCAAATGTTATTCATATAGTTTCAGTCTACACTTAATATTTAAATTTACCCCAGCTCTGTCGCTCAGGGATGTAAAAAAATTCACACCACATGCACTGTAGTTCAGCTGACCTAATCCCTGGTGTAAATGGGGCTAAGTTGCCAAAAGAATTTTTCCATTGGTCTAGCTACCATTGCTTGGATTATCTACATCCATTGAAAAACCCCTTCCATCAACATAAAAAGTATCTACACTCCAATGCTACAGCAGCAGAGCTGCTGCATAGACATGCCCATATTTAGCAAGGACAGCCTACTTTGTGGCAAAGGAGTACCTTATTCTTGGTGGGAGGCAGATGTCTTGGGTTCTGTCTTGGTCAGACCCTTGATGTGATTTGTGACTAACAATAGGGTCTAACTTGGCTAAAAGGAAACAATGGTACACTCAAGAATGTTTATCCTAAATGGACGTGTAATGCATCCATTCTTACATGTGAGGAGCTGTTGGTGTGAAACATTTGAAAAAGCCTCAACCCCCACCGCCAAAGCCAGCATAACAATTCAGGGATATCCAGGAAGGGACTATCCCTCCGGCAGAGGGGAAAATCTGGACCAGAGGACTCTAAGGAAATCTCAATAATTTTTTCTTCAAACCAAGAAGATTCTTAGTACAAGAAAGACAAAAAGCATTTTGGTATAAGAGCTTGCAATTTCTGTACAAGACTCTTTCTTCTCTGCACCCATCTCAAGAGGCTGGGAATAGTCACAGCATGGCACGTTGTCCATGCATAGACAACATGCTAATCAGTACCCAGTCAAAAGAAACAGAACATAACTTGAGAGATGCTGTAAGGATTTATATACTGTTCAAAATCAGAGAGCTTTTGATTCCAATTGCTCACCAAGAAGTCAAAAACAGACAGAACTGTGACTATAATTTTACCATAACGGTAAAAATTTAAAGCTCCAAAATTTCATTGCATCAATCATTTCTTGAGTGATTCCCAGTAGCCAGTTATCTCCAAGGGCAAGGAGTGCTGGTGCCATGCATCAGCTTTCATCCCCATGTGGGGTTTTTAAAATGCACCTGCAGGAATTCCTTGAGTTCACAGAGCCATACACATGATGCAATGCAAAATTACAGGTCATTCTCAGATCACATCTGAATGCCCTTTTGTGGGCAGGTAAATACAAACTACTCAACTTTCACTCTTGCATATTTCCAATGGAAGCAAGCGTATTTAGGCAACACATTTTGAAAATCTCATTGTACACATCCTTTTAATTAAGTGGTTCTCAAACTTTTGTACTGGTGTCCCCTTTCACATAGCAAGCCTCTGAGTATGAAACCCCCTCCCCCTTTATAAATTAAGAACACTTTTTTAATATATTTCACACCATTATAAATACTGGAGGCTAAGCGGTGTTTGGGGTGGAGGCTGACAGCTCATGACCCCCTGAGGAGTCCGGACCCCCAGTTTGAGAACCCCTGTTTTAGTTCATTTTGACACTTCTATCAGAGTGTTTCTTTAAAAAAAAGCACCAAAGCATAACTCACAAACTTGGCATTAGGGGAGCAGAACAGTGAGTCCAGTATCCTCTCTATGGCAATGACCAGTAGCAGTTGCATCAGTGGAAGGTGCAACAAACTAGGTAGTAGACAATTATGGCACTCAGAGGAAGTCTTCTTATCATTGAGGCATGACTATCTTGTATCCCTTCCAAAGTCTCGGAGTAACCAGAGATCAAAGGTCCTTAGCAATGCAAATAATGTCCTGGGTAGAGAAGAATCTGCTATCTTTGAAGACAATTCACATAAAGGATACAGAAAAGAGGGAAAGGGAGAGTTGAAGTCCTCCTAGTATTCCATTGGTCTAGAAGGTACTTTGGACTTGCTAGACAGCCAAGAATCCCACCTTGTACCTGTAGGAATCTCCAGACCTCTTGAAGCAGTAACTCCTTATTTCAGACCAGGAACACCTACAGAGAATAGCCTGGGTATCAGAAAAGAAGCATAGGTTCTCCATTAGCTTCTGATGCCATTTATGTTCCAGACAGACAGAACTCAAGGCTATTTCATTCATTGATCTGATCCAATTTATGTTTCCAGTGTGAAGGGAACCAGAAAGCTCTTTGGAGTAGGGACTACCCTTGTTATTTGTGTAGAGCCCACCACAACGGGGCTCTGAATTCTACTTGCTATTGTGTTATAATAATAATCCCCAAGTTCTGCTGATCGCAGCTACACTAGAGTTTCTCCAGGAGGTTTAGTTGGAATCCTACAACTAAGCACCTTAAAAATCTGAGTACTAAACATAATGGCATTTTCATAGAAATGTAGGGCTAGAAGGGACCTCAAGAAGTCGGTCAAGTCCAGCCTCCTGTGCTGAGGCACAACCAAGTAAACCTAGACCATCCCTGCCTGGTGTTTTCCAACCTGTTCTTAAAAACTTCCCATG